AGAGGGGGGAAAGGAACTCTGAGAAACTTAAAGTTTGAGAGTAGAGAGGTAAACACAATGGAAGGTTTATAAAGTGGAGGAAATAGACCAGGCAGAACTGAAAATAGAAAATGATCAGTACAGGGGACAGAGTTATCAAGCAATAAAAAATGATAAGCATAAAACATGATGAGTCTCTAGAGAAGCCAGTTGAGGGCAATGAACACTATGGAAGATGAGCCTCTGAGCTGCAAATCAAATTCATTATTTTAAAATTAAAGTGAGAAACAAACAAACAAAAAAACAAAAGACCAAAGCTAAGAGAGTGGAGGCAGGTTGCGTAAACAGGTCTGGCACAAACACAACATCAGGACTTTTCCAAAGCCACTTGGAAGCTAAGAAATATAGGAGCAATGATTCCAACCTGGAGCAGTCTGCTACACTAAACTGTAAAAAAAAAAAAATAAGTGTGTGGAAATAAAAATCACTGAATATATGCAAAACACCTATGCAGACATTTGACTTCCTTAGAGCTTGGCTGTGGGAGTGATACCGTGATGTCAAGGCAGAAGCATATCAGACAAAGCTTGAATCAGACAAGCTTAGAAGAAGAAGAGGGACAATGAATTCAAGAAGGGGACAATGGAATTCAGAGACCATTTCTTGCCTTTCTGTTATGTGCAAAATATACCAAGGAGCCATTAGAATCATGGGAAATATTTGTGGTAGACTTACTAAAATTCAATCAGTAGGAATTGCAGCAATCAATGAACCCCCAAAATACCATTAATAAAGGGAATGTAATTTTTCTGCATAGCGTATTCTCCAGTGTTCAATCCTTGTATAGCTGGAATAATTTAAACACCAGATTATTTAGTAAGTGTTATGTGCGTGCACTGTGGGATGGCAGGCAAAGTGGGAAAACTTTGTTGCCTCAAAAAATCTTACCTTAGATGTAGCTTACATAATGTGTAACATAGTAAGTCAACAAGTAAGTGTATAAAATGGAAAAATACTGTAAACACAATGAGGAGTGTGGTGATCCATTTTAAAAGAAATGTTAAGATTCAGCTTTTTTTGCCTTTGAAGGAATGATTCTGGGTAGGGAAAAGGGAAAACTGCATTAAGCCGTAAACAGAGCGACTTGGAAGTTCAACAATATTAAAATTTGCACATTTTGTTTCAGGTGTGTGTTTGATGTGCTAGGGAATCATGGCTACAAGAAATGAAATCATTCACTCCATTGACTCTGTTTTGAAGTTTCACTCGCTTGGAAGATAAGCAGGGTTGGAATGTGGACATTTTTACAGACATGTTACTGGTTTCTACAATTCATCTGTATTGGGTGTATTTACCTATAATGTGAGGGCTTTTTCTCTTCTAACTGATTTTTAAAATAGAGCAGTTAATAGAGCAGAATAGAATCCAGTTTTAAATAATGCAAAAAGTCAGATTCCAATAACTGACTTGAAAATTGTAAAACCTTCAAATGATTCATAAATATCACCTACAGCCTTCAAATATTTTAGGAGAAATGAAGAAAAATATCAAGAGGTTAGGTCTATATAGAAGAAAAAGGTTTAGACTTAAAACCCAGAAGGTCCATTTTGTACCTTGGTTCCTGCTTCTTACAGTTTTGAGACTTTGGTGGTACTACTTAACTATTCTCTTCATCACTTTTCTTATCTATAAACCAAGATGGGAAACATTAAGTTTAGATGTCAGTTGTTGGGGTTGGAGAGGTGGCTCCTGATAAAGAACACACACAACTCTTGTAGACAACCAGAGTTCTCTTTCTAGCACCCACCTCAGGAGCTCACAACTATCTGTTACTTCAACTGCAGAGGGTCTGATGCCCTGCAGGCTTCAAAGTCCTTGTATGGCTCCAGGGACAGACCTGGCTTGTAGAAGAGGATGAAGAAAGGAGACAGACATAGAAACAAATAACTAGCTGGAGATGGTGGGCTGGATTTTCTAATAGAGTCTCAGCACCTGAAATCTCAGTGTGTTTATTATATATACATTTGAACAGTGAGGTGGGGGTGTTGCTTACATTGAATAGGAGGTGAAGTTAGTAATACAGTTATTCAAGAAGGAAGGGTTTATGGTGTACAGCTGGATCAAGGAGACAGTTTTTGCTTGTCTCAGTTGGAGCAGTTTCTGTAGTGGTAAAGTTATAAATATCTGGGAAAAGAAAGTGGCATCTGCACACACTGTCAACACCAGCACTCAGATCCCAGAGGAAGGCTTTGCCATTTCTTTGAGCCCAGCCCAAGGAAGGCACTGCAATTTTCCTGTGGGCCTGGGTCTTTGGAGTCCTTGCCACATCCATGTCTCATCAACAGCACACATTGATTCTGGACTCCACACGCTTAAGCCTTCTACAGCAGGCACTTGTGCACAATGTGAACATTTAAAAATAAAATAGATTGTAATAACTATTTTGCATGATATAAATATGCAAATGTAAAAAGTCATCTCAAAGAGAGGCTTAAAAATGAAAACCAGTCATGCCATTGAGATGCTACTTACACGAGAAGGCAGTGGGGCAGTAGGGGAGCGAATTCAGTCTTTAGCTTCATTAGCAGAGTTTAAACAGTCAGTCCTTATGGCACGCTGTAATTGGTAGAAAGTTATTTCTAGAAATATTTTAGTTTTGTGAAGCCTTTACTAATATTTTCATTAATTTGGTGAACATATTTTCAAGTATGATTTTTAAAAATCTAATTCTGCTTTGTGTCTTGAGGTGATAATGAATTGTCTGCTCATCTACCATCACCTCTACCCTAGAATGATGGGTGGTTTGTTGTTTGTACTTTGCTTTAGATCTCATGGGCTCCTTGTGGTTTATTTGAGTGTAGCTTATGGTTTCTGCACTTGGGACAAATGCCCTCATACATGAATAATTCCAAAGGGAACTCAGTCTGTCCATGGAAAATAAAGTTATCAGTGCATTTTTCTTTTTCTTCTTTTCTTCTTTCCTTCTTTCCCTCTTTCCTTCCTTCCTTCCTTCCCTCCCTCCTTCCTTCCTTCCTTATTCTCTTTTCCTCCTCCTCTTCCTCCTCCTTCTTTTTGTTGTTTTTGTTTGTTTGTTTGTTTTGAGACAGGGTTTCTCTGTGTAGCTCTAGCTATCCTGGAACTGTCTTTTGTAGACCACACTGGCCTTAAACAAAAATCTGCCTGCCTCTGCTATCAAGTGCTGGGATTAAAGTCGTGTGACACCCTGCCTAGCTGTGGTGTGGTTCTTTTTATATTATGAGAAATTACTGTTTAGATTATGTATGCTAAGTCTAGCTTACAGTAGACTAGCTACTGAGCTGCTCACAGCCTTCTGTGTCCCTGGGGTTCATTCCTTGGAGACATTGCCATTCTGTTTACTTAACCATATTTACTGTGATGTGGTTAAGATTATGGATTTTATTCAAAGGATGCACTGCAATTATGCAACTAGTTTGGAAACCAAAGCACTGTGTATTTATTAAACTAACAAAAATATCTCCAACCAAACAAGCAAATTGCAGCCTTTTCTCCTGCAGAAAGCTTAGATGCTATTAAATAAAAATTTAGTAAAAAATATTTAAAACAGCTGGACGTTGGTGGTGCATGCCTTTAATCCCAGCACTCAGGAGGCAGAGGCAGGCAGATCTCTGTGAGTTCAAAACCAGCCTGGTCTACAAGAGCTAGTTCCAGGACAGCCTCCAAAGCCACAGAGAAACCCTGTCTCGGAAAACCAAAAAAAATATTAAAAAACAAAATTAATAAAAAACAAAATAAGGGGGCTGTAGGTATGGCTCAGAGGCTAAGAGCACTGGCTGCTCTTCCAGAGGACCTGGGTTGAATTCCCAGCACCCACATGGCAGCTCACAACTGTCTGTAATTTCAAGATCTGACACCTTTACACAGACATATATGCAGGCAAAATACCAAAGCACATTTAATAATAAACAAATCATTTAAAAACAAAAACAAACTAGATTTTACTAAAACCCATTGAACCTAAAAGACAATGGGCTCTTTGAGGAATATAACAGAAATATGTTTTCAGTATTCATTATTTTATAGTGGCTCACAAGATTGGCTTCCTTTATCATTATTTGAAAATGTCACTGTTAGATTCCTGAGTAAATGGATTTTTCTTTTCTTAAATAAAAATAACACTTTTTCTTCTTGCATTACGGGGATATGACCTAAAGATTTATAAATGTTAGACAAAGGTGCTACTATTTGGGTACAATCCCAGGCCTGCCCTCAAGCTTTATGTTGGTCTTTAAAGAAATTATCTCTAAAGAGTTTCCTTTCTTTTATCGTGTAACTCTACACGAAGCAGCCTTGAGACTGACAGTATAATAAGAGCATGTGCTGCCTTGTTGGTGCTACAAAATATTCCCCCAAGTATTCATTCCCTGACCCTCACCAATGCCCTGTAGTCATGTCAAAGGTAAGTGACATTTGTGGTCACCAGTTCCTATGAGATGGTTGACCTGAACAAAACCCATGCAGTTGCAGTTGTTAAACTCTCTCCTCAGCCATTTGTTAACTTGTGCTCACTTTTGTGTTTCCGAATCACCATAGCTGACTGCTTAGTGGCAGATTCTTTAAAGCTGAATTTACTTTGAAACATTGCATTTTGATAGACCGCAGTTTTCTTCCTACATATGTTTATGACCATTACACTTTAGTTTTTATGTAAAAATCATTCATTTTTATAGATTGCTACTATATAGTGAGTGAGTTTGGGGCAATAGTTTTGCATTAATTTTCTTTTATTCCTTCGTGGAGAGCATTTGTCTAAGAGTTGAAGGGCTGTGTTGACTGACCAAAGCTGAGGGATGCCTGGACATGTTACCATCATAATCATCCTCCAAAGATAAAAGAAAGGAATGAGTGTGGGAACGTCACACAGTGCTTGCTGCAGCCCCTGAAATGTCAAATGTGGAATGCTCGTCAGTACAAACTGCTGCAGTAGAGGGGAACACAGCTCATGAAGTTGCAATGCTTTCTTTCTGTTGCACTTTCTTTAGATGAGTAATGTGACAATCGACTATTGTCTTGACATCATAAAGAAGTTTGAAGTTTCTGAAGAAAATAAAATGAAAAATGTCCTCGGGATTGAAGGTAACCAGTCGTCTTAATCTGTGTTTCTCTGTGTCTCCCACCTACTACATTAAATTTTATTATAATTTCTAGGAAGCAAAACCAGGAAGTATTCATGAAATTTCAGGTAATTCAGATAAAGCCCGAAAGCAATCATTTTTTCACATAGCCAATTCTCTGGTTTTGTTTTTCTTATTTTTGCAGTACTCCTTAAGCTACGATTGTGTATGACGAATGCCAAGAAATATTTGGAATTTGCTCAAATGGATAATTTGTCTTTAGAAATAGTCTTGTCCTGATGATTGCAGGAAGGGAAATTTGGCCCCCAAACAAATAGTCTACAAAAGTTGTGACTTGAAAATAAACATTTTTAAATAAAATGTTAAGAATTAATTTGGTTTTTCCCAATTGGTAGTATTTCAGAAACTGTGAAAATGGAAGTCTTGACAACTTTACCACCTCATTTTATTGATAGGGAAAGTAAGACCAAAAGAAATTAAATAATTTACTAACAATTATGCACCCAGAATCTAGCTCCTAGGATTTATACATAAATAATATGATATAAATATAGTTACTGTGTGTATAAGTTATGTCCCTTTAAAAATATACAGAGAAATAAATGATAGTATTGCGATTTCCCAAAAACAGATAATTTTTAACTGAAGAATACTGAAACCCAACACCCTGCTCCCAGTATCGGTGTAGACAGATAGGGGTGTGTGTGTGTGTGTGTGTGTGTGTGTGTGTGTGTGTGTGTGTGTGTGTGTGTGTGTGTGTGTTGGAAATGTCTGTGTGTCTGTGTGTGTGTATGTGTATAAGAGACTGATCTTCACTATATTACTCAGGTTGAACCTGAACTTCCGGTCTCAAGCTCATAATGCCATGCATGGTTTGATAAGGAATCTTTAATGTCACATACTTATTTACTGTGTGGAAGAGGATTAAAATGAAGGGGAATAATTAAAATTTTCTATTATTAAAACTATTTTAAAACAGAAGAAAAACTAACTTGGGCCTCTTGGGCCACCAAGATATAAATACTTTTCTTGAAGCTTCCCCCAAAGATGCAATCAAATATGGTATCTGGTTATAAACATAAAGCTTGGAATGAAGCAACTGTGAAGACTCAGAAGACAGTTACAGATTGAATTTTACCAAACAAGTCTCAAAGACTTGAAAATACTTATCATAAAGGTGCCTACTTCTGGCCATTCATGTCTTAATTCATGAATCCATGACGATGGCCACCTCTTCCACACAAGTTTTGTTTTGAAATCTTATAGAAAAACAGGTAGATTTTCTATACAAACTTTTAAGCACGATTTCTAAACTATTTATGTGAAAGCCATTGGCAGCATTTTCCCCAAAGCCAATTTCCTAATTAGTTACCCTCTAATTATGGCAATGTTTAAGTGTTTAGCTTTATACTTTACCATGTGCAGTTTTTCAGAACATCTTAACAACTTACCAGTTAATGGTTGATTGAAGTATAAATATGGTTATAATACAACACTGATCACTCCTGAGGTCACACTAAATAAATATAGTTTGAGTTTAGTAGTTAATAAATGCCTTTGTCATGACTTTTTAAAAAGGTGTTAATTAATTTTTCTATAGGATATATTTAAGTGGCTACTCCCCAAGACATATTTTTTGATATTCTTTTTGGCATCAAGCAAAACTCTCATTACCCCAGTTGTCACCACAAGCATTGTCCTGATACTTGCTTGTAACTGTTCTTGGACCACTTTTTGTCTCTGTTAGCATCAATTAAGGAGCCATTCTTTGAAAGCTGTGACATTTCACTCTTTCTTCTGAAGGTTTCACAAATTTTATGCGTAGTCCTGCTTGTGATGTATTTAACCCTTTGCACCATGAAGTGTACCAAGATATGGATCAGCCACTCTGCAACTACTACATTGCTTCATCTCACAACACATACCTGACTGGGGACCAGCTCCTTTCTCAATCCAAAGTGGATATGTATGCACGGGTGCTACAAGAGGGCTGTCGGTGTGTGGAGGGTAAGTGTAGTTTGTCTGGGCTCTGATGTGATTGGTTAATAGTCCATTTAAATAACAAAGGCCAAAAAGGTGTTTCTATACTAATTAGAAATATTTGTTCATTATCAACTCATTTTTCTCTCTGTCTTCTTATTTTTAATCACAAGGGACAGACCAATGTGCCAATATTTGGCAAACATACCCTGAATTATTTTAAAAAACATTACAAATAACAATCTACCTGAAAAGATGTTTTAGAATAAAAAAAAAAAACAGCAAACATAGTTTAGGACAACTATTTTGAAGAGACTTCATGGTATATGGTATATATTTATTAAATTGCTAATGAGTTTGATCAGTAAGTACACAGATATGAGTAAGATGTGGTATTTGACTTTGAAGAGCTCACAGATTATCAGGGAGCACGTACAAAAAATAGAGGATTCTATTGGTTGAGTCACAGACATGGTATAGGGACTTTAGTGTAGACAAATAGAATGTACAGTGGAATTTAAGTAATCAAGCAGACCTGGGTCAAGCCTAATGGTTTTAGGCTCAAATTTTTATTTGGGGACCAGTGAAGTAATTTCCCCCTAAGAGAGAGGGTTATTTTGGCCTACTACCTGAAGGGACCAAATTATCACGATGGGGAAGGCAAGATAGTGAGAGCATGAGCAGGGTAGTCACATTGCATCCACAATCAGGAAGCAGAGAGAGGTGAGTGCTGGCTGGTCATCAGGCTTCCTCATTTCCCCCCCTTTTTTTTATTCAGTCTGGGCTCCAAGCTCATGAGGATGGTGTCATCCAGGATGGTCTTCCATCCTCAGGTAATCTCTCTATCTCTTCATCTCACAATGCATTCAGTCTGTTCATAGTTTCCAAGGTCTTCAAAGTTTATATTATTTAAGGTTTGGTCTCTTCTGAGACTTTGTTACTCATAACTTGGAGCCTCCTGTAAAATCTAAAACAAGTACAAAGGCAGAGAGAACATAACCATTTCCAAAGTGGAGGAATGGGTGCTTAGCCCAGGAAGATCCCACCAAAGCAACCTTGAAACCCACGAGGGTGAGCACCAAGCCATGTACAGCTCTATCCAGTTCAAGTCCCACCACCCCTCACTCTAGCATCTTCCATGCCTGCAAAACCAGCTCCATGTGACTACTGTCAAGTTCTGCTGCTGCTTGCCATGTGGCCTAGGCCAATTGGACCATCACTGCAGTGGCCTCTGTGTTCTTTTATGGCTGTACCTGGGAAAATACTTCCTTCATTAGCCTGACTCAAGCACGATGCCTTGGAAGCTCTTTTTGTTAAGAAAATGAATGGTTTTCAAATGAGTTTGCATTGTTCGGGAGCTTTGGACTGTGCCCTCCTGTCTTGATGTCTTATCTGCAAATCGCCTAGTGCAAAGTCCTGGTTTTTCCTGAATGCCCTCTCCTGATTGCTGGAGCTTGAACCCAGAGCCTCAAGCATTGTACCTTTGTGCTGTACCATTTGAACTATACCCCAGCCTAGTGGCACTAACTTGTTTAATAATTATGGCCAGTCTCTCTTGCCCTGTATTCACTTTTAACATTCTTTAAAAAGTAGATTTTCTTTCTGAACTGTATATTTGCATGTCTTTGTGTTTCAATTTCTGCTATATTTCACTGTAAATCTGTATAAATATAAAGGACAATGGTAACTATGACATACCATGAATGTTATTGTCTTCAGATTTCTTCTGCCAAATAAATTGATCCTTTATTTTTAGATCCAATTTCATTTAAGTTTCAGGACACAGAGACAGTCAGATTTTTTTTTTTTGCCAGAGTATACCATGAATAGCCTCCTAATAGAGTTCTTGATTTCCCCTGTTCTGCTTTCTGTCTGCATTCTGGATTTTGGGAGCTATAGTAGAATGGCTTATTAACATCTATGGCTTTGTCTTAGTTAGGGTTTCTATTGTCGTGAAGAGACACCATGTCCATGGCAACTCTTATAAGGGAAAACATTTAATTGTGGTGCATCACTTACAGTTCAGAGGTTTACTGCATTATCCTTGCGGTGGGACATGGTGGTGTGCAGGCAGACATGGTACTGGAGAATCTGAGAGTCCTACATCTTGCAGACAACAGGAAACGGTCTGCCTCACTGGCAATGGCTTGAGCATGTATGGGACCTCATCTCCATAGTGTCACACTTCCTTCAATAAAGCTATACCTACTCAACAAGGCCACACCTCCTAACAGTGTCACTCCCTTTGGGGGCCATACAGCTTCTTTAGATACTTCGACAATCCTTCTGTAGACTGGTTCCAGAGGCCTCTGAGTCACTGTTTAGTTGTATCACACCAGTTCCTTACCAGTTTTCGGTATTGGTTATTCTTCTCATTACTCTGACCAGAAAGTTGGTAACAAGCAACTTAAGGGGGAAGGAATTTTTGTCACTGAATCTGAGGTTTGTGAGCACAGTCATCATGGTGATAAGACAGCAGTGAGAGAAGCCTGTGGCAGAAACAGAGGGGTGCTGGTTTGTAATTCCGTGCATCAGGAAGCAGAGAGAGGGGAATGAGGATCCCTAGCTTAGGGTTTGTAAACCTGCAGGTATAATATCCAGCTTACAGTTTAGGCAGTGCTGTGTAAGTCTGGTATGACCCACTCACATATGTAGTGTATGTTTGTAGGGGAAGAGCAGAAGTGGGAACTGATCCAGGGGAGTGGTGGAGCACCTACTATTATTATTTAAAGGAAGAATTCAAAATACCGGAGTAGCCTGGTCTGCTTATGCAAGCCTCTGCCAACAGCTGCTTGCAAGACTGAGGCTGAAAGTGCAACGCAGGCAGGATAACCTAGTGAGACCCTGTTTCAAAATAAAAACAAAAAAGGATTAGTGATAGAGCTCTAGTGGTAGGCTTCTAGATTCAATCTCTGGTACCTTAAAAAGCAGTGACTAAATAGTCAAAAGGTAAACCTAAGAGAGCTCAGTGAGAGAATTGAAGGGTGGAAGTAATGAAGAGGAAACTTGAGTGCATGATGGTACTGTTCTATGCTGATGGAAATCCAATGGGAAGAGCAGAAGATAGTGCAATTTTCTCCCTGCTGAGTTGAGAGTGACTTTGTAACATTTAAACCTTTGTCTTTCTCTAGCATTTGGATAACAATATCTGACCTTAACAGAAGGATCAAGAAAAGATAAAGGTTTCATGAATCTCTATGGACATGGTAGTTAAAATCAAATATAGACAAGCAAATTGGTGGGCTGATGGCTGGGTATCTTTCTTATGAGACAATTTGATGCTTTAGGTGTGTGTGTGTGTGTGTGTGTGTGTGTGTGTGTGTGTGTGTGTGTGTGTGTGTGTGTGTGTTTGCTGGGGGTGAGACTTGAGAGAAAAGGAGATTGTATTGGTTGCTTTCTATGAGAGGAAGAGGATAAGAGCTTTTGAAAAAACTCATGCCTGATAATTCTTACATTCCGATGGAAGTAGGAAGCATCACCCACTCCTGTGTACAATGGGTAGAGTTGTTTAGGGCACTTAAAGAAGATCAGCAAATTCCTGAAAACAGCATCAGGGAATGGGAGCTGATAAGTTAGGGAAGATGGAACTACTTTCAAAAACCATCTTTAGTGATGCAAAATTTGTCTGCCTAGCTCTTCCTACATCCTCACTGCTTGAATATAGGAGTAGCAAAGACTGGCTATAGGAGGACCTGAGTTCAATTCTCAGTACCTATGAGCAGCTTATAACCCTCTGTAACTCTAGTTCCTGGGGATCCAATACCCTCCACAGGCACCAAACACACTTGTGCCACACAGATGTACCTGCAGGCAAAACACACACACACACACACACACACACACACACACACACACACACACACACACATCAAAGTGATTCTGTAGATTTTGTTTTATTCTATGATAATTTATCGTAGTTGCAAGACTCTCTATTGGCAATAGTGACTAAGTCAGATGACTTAATAACTGAATGCTCAAAATACTAATGTGGAAAAAAACCTCCTAAGTGATAGGTCTTGAAGTGACATTCTGCTCCCAGCTATTCAGTCCCTTGGTCACTTAATGCTCAATAATTTTCTCTTAGATGTGCATAGACATGTCCTGTGCACCTATCCTCACTGAATTCACACTGATGCTGACCCCTCATGCCAACGTTTTGGTTGTTTGAAGATAGGGCCTTCCACTGTAGCCCAGGCTGTTCAAGAACTCATTATGTAGCTCAGATTGGCCTTGGACTCACCATAATCTTTCTCCCCCAGCCTTGACAGAGCACCACAAGCTGCACTGGGCTTCATGCTTCAGTCTTTGTTTCTAGGTTTTTCTCCCACTAGCTTATGTCAGTGATGCCTCTCTTAGTACTTGGCTTGAGATTCTTCCTATTACAATAAACTGTAACCAAACAGTAAAAGTGAAACTACTCTTTCTAGAAAGTTTTTGATGAGACATTTGTACTTACTCGGGGAATTTGGCCAGTTTGTACTTACCATTTTCCTTCTCAAAGCTTTGGTTGCCATGTTAAGCTTCAGTGTACTGTGGAAAGAAAAATGGTGCTATTCAGTTCTGTAGACAGGTCCTGGCTGATAGCTTTCCGTATGTTTTCAATTAAGCTCTTCAGCATCAGCAGGTATGGGATAAGTTCCTAAGAGGAAACTTCAACACAGACTTGGGTAGATGACTGAAGTTCCTATAGCTTGCAAGCTGGAGATTCAAGCCCTGTTGATCTGGTATCCTTCAGGGAGCCTGCACCTTTTCTGACCAGCCTATGAGGGACTAAATAAAAGACAGCAGACCACAAGAAAATGACTAGACACGGTGGAAGCCTAGAACTGAAAGGGGAGAGGTTAACTTTTAAAGGAGAATCTTGCTTCGTTCATGATTAAGCCTAGCACCCCAATATTTACTTGTTTCTGAAAGCTTAAAGCTTGGTCATATGACCCCTTATACTCTCCCAACAATTTCTTTTTGTCATATAACCTGAAGTTCTTAGTTCACATTTGCAACTTGAGCATGGAGACACCAAGTCTTTATGTGCTAGTGGCACTCATCAGCCTTAGAGCTGGATGAGACCTCTTTATTCTTAAACAGCTGCATCTGACCCAAAAGAATCTGATTCATAGGATGCAGCAGGTCATAGATAGCTGAGAAGTTGAGATCTACAAATATTTTCTTAACCAGCCTTTTTCTGTGGATGATACTTTAAAAATGGAGAATGATGAATATGTGGACTATTTTCCATGGTATTATGAGCTGGGGAGCTATCTTCTTTCAAGTGTCTACTTTCATGATGTGTTCAGCTGTGATAACATTCTCCTTCAGGGTATGTTTGGTGTCTTGGGGAAGATTGACAAGTCGCTATGGTAAGGTGGACTTGGCAAACCAAGCAGATAGCCATTCATTCATCCATCCATCCATCCATCCATCCATCCATCCATCCATCCATCCATCCATCCATCCATCCATCCATCCATCCATCCATCCATCCATCCATCCATCCATCCATCCATCCATCCATCCATCCATCCATCCATCCATCCATCCATCCATCCATCCATCCATTCATTTGCTTTCCAGCCTAAATGGCTTAATGACTTGGGAGACTTTTGTTATTATGAATGACTATATTGCTGTTGATATATATATATATATATGTGTGTGTGTGTGTGTGTGGCTTACAGCTTTCTCCATTCTCCCTGAAAGCCACTATGGTAAAAACCTGTAATTCCCTTATAAAAAGCTGTTGGTTTAGGGACTTGGCTTTCAGAATGATCAGATCTTCATCAGAGTTTTGGGGGGCCTTCTGGTTAAAAAATGATCCCTGTGGTCCCTGGCTATTCTGTGTCTTGGGAACATTTGTTAAAGTATTTCTATTTTGCCAGTACCCTTCAGCTAGCTTTTACAGGAAACTTTCCTTGAGTCTGACTTTCAGTGTCTCAGTGCTATTTGTGTGTGTTGTTATCCTCAATTTACACCTGCTCAAGGAGTTCAGACATAAAAATATTAGCAATGTTCATTGTCTGTGTTTTAAACATTAGCAAAAGAACAAACACCTTATCATGACTAATGTTGTCAAAGCATGTCGATATGATAAATTAGTATTGATGTGCCTTTTATATTTTGCATTGTTTCTTTGAAGGATGTTAGTATATTATTTGCTATATCATTTCTTCTCCAAAATGGGACTGTGTGTCATGGCAACAGGTGTTGAAACTACACACAGTCATTTACTGCTTGATGGTGATGATACGTTCTAAGAAATACATCAGGCAATTTTGCCAAATATCAGAGTGTATTTACACAAATCTAAGTGGTGGGGATCAGTCCAGTATGGCTTCTTAATGTGATGAGGAGACAAAGTAAACATAATCTGTATGAAGCTGTTGCCTATGCAAAACAACATACTGTTTTCTAATAAGCTTTTTTTTATAAATTGAAAGAATGTACTGTTAAATAATGATACAAAGCATGGCACAGTAGCATGGGAACCAGTGGTTATTCATTATTATTACCAACTATTAGATACCAAACAGAATTACACATGCTATGTTTCTGTATACCTGAAAGTACAGAATATTTGTTTACACCAGCAATACCACTAACTTGAGGAATGTCTTATGCTAAGACATTCTTATGTGACATGCTATGCCACAAGATTTTAGAAATGTTCACTTCAGGCTGGGAATGATAGTGTGCCCCTTTAATCCTCAGACTTGGAAAACAGAGGCAGCCAGATCTCTGTAAGTTCAATGCCATCTTGTACTACATATTGATACCCCACCTAAATAAATAGATAAATAATAAAAAATAAAAAAATATTTCAGGGTTGGAGAGATGGTTCAGTGGTTTCAATCTCTTGCTGCGATTGGCTGATAGAGGACCAGCCAATGTGTTGTGTGTGGAGGGCATCAGATCCTATTTTCATTAAACTTCACCAGAAAAAGAGTTGATAAAATAGAGTAAGAAAGGGAAAGGGGCTCTCTGCTCCTCCCTGTTCTAGAGACAGCCGCATCTTTTCGTGCAGTGCCAGCCTCGTTCCTGAGACGCAATGGTGAAGGTCGGAGTGAACGGATATGGCCGTATTGGATGCCTGGTTGCCATGGCTGCCTTCACTACTGACAAAATGGAGATTGTTGCCATCAATGACCCCTTCATTGACCTCAACTACATGGTCTACATGTTCCAGTATGACTCTACCCATGGCAAGTTCTAAGGCACAGTCAAGTCTGAGAATGGGAAGCTTGACATCAATGGGAAGGCCATCACTGTCTTCCAGGAGCGAGTCCGCCAACATCAAATGGAGTGATGCTGGCGCCGAGTATGTTGTGGAGTCTACTGGCGTCTTCACCACCATGGAGAAGGCTGGGGCCCACTTGAAGGGCGGGGCCAAGAGGGTCATTATCTCCACCCCTTCTGCTGATGCCCCCATGTTTGTGATAGGTGTGAACCATGACAAGTACAACAACTCCCTCAAGATTGTCAGCAGTGTGTCCTGCACCACCAACTGCTTAGCTCCCCTGGCTAAGGTCATCCATGACAGCGTTGGCATTGTGGAAGGACTCATGACCACAGTCCACGCCATCCCTGCCACCCAGAAGACTGTGGATGGCCCCACCAGGAAGCTGTGGCGTGATGGCCGTGGGGCTGCCCAGAACATCATCCCTGCATCCACTGGCACTGCCAAGGCTGTGGGCAAAGTCATCCCAGAACTGAATGGGAAACTGACAGGCATGGCCTTCCGTGTTTTTACCCACAATGTGTCCATCGTGGATCTGACATGTCATCTGGAGAAACCTGCCAAGTATGAAGACATCAAGAAGGTAGTGAAGCAGGCATCCGAGGGTCCACTGAAGGGCATTCTGGGCTACACCAAGGACCAGGTTGTCTCCTGAGACTTCAATAGTGACTCCCACTCTTCCACCTTTGATGCTGGGGCTGGCATTGCTCTCAATGACAACTTTGTAAAGCTCATTTCCTGGTATGATAATGAATTCTGCTACAGCAACAGGGTGGTGGACCTCATGGCCTACATAGGCCTCCAAGGAGTAAGAAGCCCACCCTGGACCATCCACCCCCAGCAAGGACTCGAGTAAGAGAGAGGCCCTGGATACTGTTCAACAACCCCCACACTGATCATCTCCATCACAGTTTCCATCCCAGACCCCCAGAATAAGGAGGGGCTTAGGGAGCCTTACTCTCTTGAATACCATCAATAAAGTTTACTGCACACCCCACCACAAAAAAAAAAAAAAAAAAAAAAAAAGAAAGGGAAGGGAAAACTGTGATTAACTGGTTGCATTTAAGGAATGGGCTCACATAGTTGTGGGATGAGCCAGTCTGAAATTTTTAGACTGCCTAACCCTTAGCCAGAGATCTTGGTTAAAGGTGATACTTTAGTCGCATGGGCTCAAAGTAGGCTCAGGCAGAACTTACATGGCCTAGGTGCTTTCTGCTGCTGTGACCAATAGCAACTTTAAGATGAAGGGATTTAGCTGTTCAATTTATTTTAGTTAATAAAGAAGAACTTTTTTAGAAGACTATATTTCCAAGAGAAATTTTGGCAAATGCTAGTCTCCTTGCTAGCCTGATGTCTTTGTAAACTACAAGCACTCAAACACACACACACACACACACACACACACACACACACAAATCATTTGTCATCTTTAAGTCTTTATCCTGGTAAGTATGTCAGAATGTTCAATTGTCTGTCTTTACATCTTTGTCATAACTGTAGTATGTGTAAGTTCTAGCAGTAATCATAATTGTTTCTGGCATTTCCAGAGATGTTAAGAAACCAGACAGTTTATATTGTTGATGTGATCTTCTGTTTTTGGCAGTTGACTGTTGGGATGGCCCAGATGGAGAGCCAGTGGTCCACCATGGTTATACTCTCACTTCAAAAATTCTCTTCAGAGATGTTGTGGAGACTATTAACAAGCATGCTTTCGTGAAGAATGAGTAAGTACAACACCTGGACGCTAAGCTCCACCCCTTAGCTTAGGGAGCACAGCCAAGTTAGTGTGGTTACAGAAGCACACCCTCTTCCTTGGGATCCTCACCTTCCTTCCCACTGCCCTGGTTCTCTTCCCTCTCACCCACAAAGAATGGGAACAAGTACTATGGCTTCCAAGTTTATGGGTCTTGTGACCTACTTACTCTTTAATCCCATTCTCTCTCATCCTGTCTCCTTGAAAATATCCTTTCAAAGAATGACTTCTAAATTTCTAAACCCATAACGCTTGGAAACAAGGTTTTATATATAGTAGTTTATAATTTTTTGAGACTTTATTTTTATGTGTATGAGTGTTTTGCCTGAATTTATGTCTCCGCACATGTGAATGAAGTGCCTGTGGAGGCCAGAAAAGGGCACTGGATCCCCTGGGACTGGAATTATAGACAATTCTTAGCTTCCATGTGGGTGCTGGGAATTGAACTCCAGTCCTTTGGAAAAGAATCCAGGGTTCTTAACTTCTAAACCATCCCTCCAGCCCCATAACAATTTTTTGACACTACATCATAATTTAATAATTGTGGAATGTCAGACACTTCAGGGTACTAAGGACATCCAACACAGAGAAGATCTACCATTTCTTTCACTTCACCACTTTCTCTTAATTCTCTTTTCCCCTTTGGTCTATGCTCCATACTGATGCTATGGTTTCTTTCAGAAACACGCATGCTATCGTAATTGTGGTTGTAGTATTCTTTAAAAAGCTTCTACAGCATACAGGATGTCTTCATGCCTTCACATGTGGCTTCTTTCTTCTCTTCCAGCATTGTCCTATTCCATCATTGCTCCACAGAGACCTAGAATCTGATAGCAATGATTGTCTTTTACCTTTTCCAACAAGCTTAGAACTTGTTATGTTATTCTCTGCCCCAAATACCCATCCCACAATGATACCCACATACTTTGTTTTTATACAATAAAATTATTTAAGCACCACCCCACTGGGACGTATATCTTGAGCCACAGCTGATTTACTCACTCTTTCTTGATACTTAGCTATCTGAACATGTATCTGTCATAGAGTATAACACCCTGATAAAAAGTTTGATAGTGTGCTTCCTTTTTATCGGGATGAGGTGGTAAACTCATTGAAAATATGGCACCGTTTCAGCAGTTATTGTTTTTTGTTTTTTTTTTTGTTTTTTTCTGTTTAGCAGGTACCATCAACGTGCTAAACATATGAAAAGGGATTTTTAAATTAAAGAAGCAAATTACAATTGTGATTGCATAAAATTAATATTTTAGATGCTAGTAGCCTTTAAAATTTCTGATATTTGGTCTTATTAATTAACCATGAGGTTGAAATGCTCTCTTCTAATGAGAGATTCTTTCGGCATAGCAAATTTTGTTTGTGGCATCTTTTACATGGAAGAATTTAGTGCTAAATTCAGTCTTTCAAACCCTGATTCCCATCAGTCTTACCTGTCAGTATTTCCCATTATATGAACTAGTATCACCCCCATACCTCAGATTATTGTCTCCTACCTAGGATGCTGACTTTATGTTTATGAACCCTTAGAAGAAATGTGCTTTAGGAACTGGAGAGATGGCTAAGTGGTTAAGGGTCCTGGGCTTGGTCCTCTCACATATCTGACTCACAAACAATTTTCATTCCAGGTTCAATGGCATCTAACACCCTTTTCTGGCCTTTGTGGGCAACGGGAATGCACATACATTCAGGCAAAACCCTCATGCACATAAATTAATAGAAAATAAATCTTTGAAACAGAAAACACTTTAAATGAGAATGCCATATGCTTGTTTAGGACATTAACATATTTTGATCCTTTTATTTTCCTTCTATTTTTAATGTTTCTTTTTAGCAAGGATTCTTAATTTTGGCACTATGGACATTTGGGGCAGGACTGTATGTAGTGGAGGCTCCATCTTGTGTACTGTAGAGTGTTTAGTTGCATCTCCAGCTTCTACTTACTAGGTGCTGGCAGCATCCCTAAATTGTGCCTGCCAAAACTGTCTTTAGACATTGATAAATGTCTTTTAATAAAATGAGGCTCAAAATCCCTTCCCCAGTTGAAACAGCCTTATTATTGGCAGCACTAGATACTCATGAGCTCTTTATATGTGAATTGATAATTTAAAATTTTTGCTAAAACCTATACCATTGCAAGACATCTTAGGGGTTTCCTGTTTGTTCATTTCTCTTCACAACACTCTCGAATAAAAACCCATGTGAGAGAATAACCAGCCAACAGACTACAGAGCAAGCAATCATCAGTCAGAGGCCCGGCACGGGGACTTCGTAATTGAACAGAATTTGAAGAGGTCATGGGCCATTTCAGGGAGCTTATGCTTGCCCAAAGAAATCTTTTTTCTTTATACAAATGTGTTAGGCAATTCAAATATTGGTTTGTGTAATTTGAAAGAGCTCACATATTATTTCTGAAAATACATGATAGAAAACTAAATTCTGTTTTCTTTTTTATGCTTTGGTTGCCAATCTCTCAGACTAGTTTTGGGAGTTACCTTATATTTTCTGTACATATGTGTACTGCTATATAATGGTTTTTGAGACACTTATGGGGGAGGATGTGGCAGGGAGCATGTTCACATGTCACACTGCACATATGGGGGTCAGAGAACAGCTAGTGGGAATACCTTTTCTCCTTCCACATGTGGGTGCCACGGATCAGATCCAGGCCATCAGACTTGGCAGCAACTGCCCTTACTGGCTGAGGCTGAGCCAGCTCACTGGCCCAGCTTTTTTTTGTTGTTGATGTTTAACTGAACACTGGCATTCAGTTTTATAAAAATAATTTCAGGAGGCCTGACATTTGATGCATAAATCAAAGCTGCATTATGCTATTTTCCCCTAGTTCCCAAAATGGGACTGCTATATTTTTAGAGCAAGCAACTGCCCTTAATGATATGCAGTAGTCTCTTTGATTCACTTACACTTGTGAATAAATATGAAAAAATGACATCATGAATTTTCTTTCCTTAGGTTTCACAATTTTCTCTGTCTCTGTCTCTGTCTCTGTCTCTGTCTCTCCCTCTCTCTCTCTCTCTCTCTCTCTCTCTCTCTCTCTCTCTCACGCATACACCATACACACACACACACACACACACACACACACACACTCTAGAGCTTGCACACACATAATATATTTAAAAATACACTCCTCACTTTTTGCCTGACACTAAACTAAGCCATCCTGCACTATCCTGCAAGAACTAATATTTGTTTAGTCATTGCACCTGGCAAAGTGTATTTGCTTTGAGGAATTTTGGGGGGATTTTTTTTCAGTGCATTTTTAATCTTTCTCCTTTTAGCATCATTTTAATTATTATCAGTGTTGTCCATTAAGTGGTTGGGATTTTAAGAATGCAACACATACAGATTCTATTTCCAGGTTTCCACAATCCCTGTGAGCTGGCTGCACTGAACGTCCTTATTGCTGTTTCCTCAGGTTTCCAGTTATACTGTCTATTGAGAACCACTGTAGTATTCAGCAGCAGAGGAAGATTGCTCAGTACCTGAAAGGAATATTCCAGGACAAACTGGACCTGTCAACTGTAGACACAGGAGAGTGCAGGCAACTTCCAAGCCCTCAGAGTCTGAAAGGCAAAATCCTAGTGAAGGTAATTACTTCAGGGTTACAGGCTAGACATTAATGCTCAACTAAGTCTTTCTTCCTTGTTGATAATAGATACATAAATCAATTAAATAAAGAAATGGGGAAATGATTAGAATCAATACATGGGAAAGGTATCTGTCTGTGCATCTTATGTTAATGTATAGACCCACTTTCAGAGGCAACTTAGGGCTGATTGGATGCTGTGGATTTGTTTTGCTGGCTGTCCATGCTGTGAAAGCTATTTTTAGTCTGAGTGAGTTCCTCCAGAGAGGTATGTATGGCAAAGTGAGGTGCAAAAGAGGAGAAAGCTCTCTGACTCCATGTCTGAAGGCATTCTGTTTAGATTCTTTTCTTCCATTTCAAGCTCCAATAACTGTCTGTCAAAAGAAAAAAATCTTCATGGTTGGTTGGTCTTGGTTATGTGTGTGAGAAGCACTCTCTTCAAGCAGGAACATGGGCACAGACATAATGCCCCTCAGGACCTGTGTATGTGAGAGAGAGAGGGGGTGAGCAGAGTGACATTTTATCAACAGATTCTGTAAGGGAGAAAACTTAGTATAGTGAATATTATTAATGCAAACAATGGTCAGAAAGACATCTCCTTGAGTTCTCAGATTCCAGCTTTGCTATTTCACATATCTCCAGTGAGTATTTTCTTTGGTCTAAAACCTTGGATGGTTGCTTTGTTTAGAACTTAAAAAGATAAAGAACAGAGCAGTAAAAGAGGACTCTAAAAGAGACATACATGGTCCCCCAGAGAAGGGGAAAGGGACAAGATCTCCTGAGCAAATTGGGAGCATGGGGGGAGGGGAGAGGGAGCTAGGAGAATGAGAAGGGGAGGGGATGAGGGGTGAGGAGGACATAAGGGAGCAGGAAGGTTGTGTAGGGGGAAGAATAGAGGAGAGCAAAATAAGAGATATCATCAGAGAGGGAGCCAGTATAGGTTTAAAGAGAAATCAGGCACTAGGGAAATGTCCATAGATCTACAAGGATGACACCAACTAACCATCTAAGCAACAGTGGAGAGGCTATCTTATATGCCCTCCTCTGATAATGAGATTGGTGACTGACTTATATGCCATCCCAGAGCCTTTATCCAGCAGCTGATGGAAGTAGACGCATATACCCAAGCTAAACATTGAACTGAACTGGAATCCAGTTGCAGGGAAGGAGAAGTGATGAGCAAAGGGGTCAAGACCAGATTGGTGAAACCCACAGAAACAGCTGACCTGAACAAGTGGGATCTCTTGGTCCCCAGACTGATCACTGGAAAATCAGCATGGAGCTTATCCAGACCCCATGAATGTGGGTGTCAGTGAGGAGGCCTCAGAAATCTATGGGGCCTCTTGTAGTAGATCAGTACTTATCCCTAGCATAGGAATGGACTTTGGAAGCCCATTTCACATAGAGGGATACTCCCTCAGCCTAGACACATGGGGGAGGGCCTAGGCCCTATCCCAAAGGATATGACAGACTCTGAAGACCTCCCATGGAAGGCCTCACTCTCCCTGGGGAGCAGAAAGGGTATGGGATAGGTAGGGTGTTAGTGGGGGGGAAGGGGAGGAGGGGAGGAAGAGGGACCTGGGATTGACATGTAAAACAATCTAGTTTCTAATTTAAATAAAAAATGGAGAAAAAAAAAAGCAGAGCAGTAGACTAGGCTGCTTAAGAAGGATGTGTACCATGAAGGAGAGGTAACATAAGAGCCCATTGTAGGGTAGAACTCTAGTAAAGACAATGAAATATTCAGAGTTGTCAAAACCTGCTTTTCTAACAATTAAATCACAAGTATAGACCCAGAGTCCACCAGACAGCTCTTGTGTAAGTGCATTTTTGAATAAAAGGTCCTAACAACATGACAGGTAATATTAAGGTCGACTTGCCCAAGTCTGGCCAGAGGTAACTGCTATGCTGAAAACTCATTTCTGCATTCAAAACTGATGTGTTATCTCTATAATATTGTAAATGCCTCACATCCCTTACCCAACTATCAGGAAATTAAATGTAGACTGAAGCCCTCTGATTAAAATCTTTCCTTTTGGCTGGGCACAGTGACACATTTTTTTTAATACCAGCACACAGGAGGAAGAGGTAGGTAGATTTCTGTGAGTCTGATGTCAGTCTGGTCTACATAGTGTGTTCTAAGCCAGTCAGAGGTATATAGTAAGACTGTATCTCAAAAAAAAATCTTGCTTTCTGGACAGTGGAAATTAAGATAGATGTTTGGTGTCCCAGGGCTTATGGGTACTAGATTGAATTAGGTAGAGGGTCTGAGGCAGTCTTTGAAAGGGTGGCAGCAGTATGAGCTATGGGCATCCCAAATGCATCTGATGTCCATTCACTATTGGCAATGTTTCTTAGAAGTGAAGGAAAAAGCTGGGCCTGGTGGCACATGTCTTTACTCCTAGCTCTCAGGAGGCAGAGGCAGAGGCAGTAAGGCTGTCATTGAAGGCAGCCTGTGATATCTTCTGTCTGAAAAAAAGGTGATGAATGAATATAAAAATGAATAAAACTGAAGTTTGACTGATGTGTTCCAGCATGTTCTCACTTAAAGCAAAAGCAACACTGCTCTGGCAGAATAGTCTCCAGCTCAAAGGCAGCATGGGAAGCCTACTTAGCACTCAGGAGGTTGACACCAGAAGTGTAGAAAGAGTTGTATCTACAAGGAATGTGTTTGTGTTCCTAAAAAATAAGCAAAAAGTTGCTTTTGAGCAAATACAACATATTTGACAGCTTTCCCCCAGTTGCTATTGCTAAAAGTAGGGGTTGTTCTTTGCTCTGGGGCTCCTAGTTTTGCAGGAGGGGTATTACTATTGCTCTGGGCCCCACAGAAGATAGTTTGAAGCTGAGAGGTATCCAGTAATATTTCCATGTTCCATTATGAATCACCCCCAAGCTTAGAGTGTAACAAATAGTATGCAGACCAGAAAAAAACTTCCAGAAGGCACCTGGATCATCCTTCCTTTACATCTACTCTGTCTAAATTTATTTGCACCACACAAGATTTCACCCAATTTTATTCTTTTTTATGCTTTAATTTGCTTTTATGTTTTATAACTGAAAAAAATTTTCATAACAATATATTTTTAGCATACCCCCTATACTCCTCCCAGGTCCTCTCCATCTCCCCTAACTACAAACCCTTTTGAAAACAGTCAAGGGGCATGGCTTTAATCTCAGCACTCAGGATGCAGAGGCAATCAGATCTCTGTGAGTTCCAGGACAGCCTTTTCTACATAGTGAGTTCTAAGACATCCAGGGCTAGGAGAGATCCCCTCTCAAAACAAACACATACATACAGTTCTCTACAAAAACAGAAGGCCAAAATAGACGAGCAAAAAAACACATAGACAAAAAATGCCAAAGCAAAGCAATATGAGATGAAAAGTCTACAAAAACCCATTGAGTTCATTTTGTGTTGACCAATTATTTCTGGGCATGGAGCCTATCCCAAATTATTTTCCCCTTTACAACAGGGGATCAATTATAGATAGCTTCTTGATTAGTGGCAAGGACACATGTCCAGTTCTCCCTCTTAGCACTTGGACCCCATTGCACCATCATTGAACAAACTTCTTGCAGTAGACAGGAACTAACACAGAAACCCATGCCTGGACCATGTGCTGGGAGAGTTGGAGCACTCAGCCCTAAATGGGATGCATTCATCAAACCTCTCCCACCTCTGAGCTCAGGGATCTATATTGAAGAGGAAATAGAAAGATTGTAGGAGACAGAGGTGATGGATGACACTAAGGAAACAGTGTCTTCCAGACACAACAGGGCTGATGCACATATAAACTCACAGAGACTTTGACAACACACACACGGCCTGCACAGGTTCAAGAGAGACAAGATTCTAATCATATCCTTTATCTCTCTCCATGGGTAGCTGTTAATAAAATATGTTAAGGTAATGCTCTTGGCAGGGCATGGTAGTGCATGCTTGTAGCCCAATTACTTGGGAGGCTGAGGCAGGAAGACCGAAAGCTGAAAACCTGACTGGGCTACGGAGAGCAAGATCTTGTCTCAAAAAACGAACCAAACCAGCACTGCTTTTTTTTTTTTTTTTACAAAGCTTTTCTTCCTTCCTGGATACAGTATGTTTGTGAACCAAGGAATATGGGAAAGATGGCCAAAAATATGGGTGTTTAGAAATATCTTCTAAATACATCCCAAAAGCAAAGAGCTCCTCTAGTCGGTATTCTTTTGTTTTTATTCCTTCATCCCATGCCACCCTGAAACAAAAGGGAATTGAAGCCTGTGCTGCTGCATTCCTCATGCCTGGCTGCCATGGTACCCATCCATCCTCTGGATCTGGAATCAAATTGCATCATTCAAGAACAGTTATTCTTAACTTGGTGATGCTTTTGTGTTTATTAGTTTTGTCCTATTGAACATTATTTTAATGAATTTGTTTTTGATGCTATTAAAAAAAAAAAAAACCCTGCTGTCTGTTCACAGGTCTACCTTGGTATCTGTCATTATGCCCAACAAAAAGTTGACTCTGAGTAACTGGTTGGTGGTGAATGTATGAAAGATACTGATATCATTGTGTCTATGGTTGCTGAGTGCATCTGGCCACCTCTTGAGTCCTTGCAATATTGTCATAAAAGCTCTACAAATATTGTCTTAAGAAAAGAAAAATGAGATCATATTCTGGGAGCTTTCTGCATAGTTAATACCTAAAATCATATTTATATATATTTGAACATTCTAATTCTGAACAGTCCTGCTATAATTGGACCTGAGTGTTTGTGGGGTGTAGCTCTTAGTGGAATGCTTGCCCAGCATGTGTGGATCAGTTCCTGTCACTGCCTAAACTGGGCTTGGTGATGTACACCTGAAATTCCTGTACTAAGGAGTGGAGGCAGGAGGATCAGTAATTTAAGATCATCTACAACTACAAAGTGAGTTCAATGACAGCCTGTAGTATATAAGACCCTGTCTAAAACATTGCACAAATTTGTTTTAGCTACGCCTGTCTTAGAAAGGCTATTCTGTAAGTTGGAGAACATATTTAAGTCTCCAAATCCTAAAAACTTTATCTGAATGCAAACTTTACTTTTATTACACTATTATATAATTATTTTGAAGTTATAAGCCTAGGGTCAAGGGCTTTGGGTGTTCAGGAGTGTTTGGGACAGGGACAGCAGGTGAGCTCCCTCACAATCTGAAAAAACATTTGTGTGCACAAATCAGTTACAAAGTTCATTGTGTACTTAAAATTTTTCTATCTCTGTTTTGAGCTAAGAATGATAGATAATTGGTTTTTCAACCTTTCTTAAAAGTAGGGGTACACCCTGCTTACAAATGAATCATCAGGGGAACCTTCCTCTGGTATTGAAGAAGAAACAGAGGAGGGGTCAAAACTGAGCCCGTCCTGCTGAGGGATGGTGGAAGAGGCCAATGGTAGCCTTTCTGCCAACAGTTCCTAAGGCCACTGTATGAATGGTGAGGTTATAGGCAATGATCGCTGTCCCTTGTTGCTTTGCAAAAGGTATTTTCACTGGATTACTTTTACCCAGGACTCTATTTGTGAGTATATTAGGTGTCTATGGATACCAAGCAAATTGCCCCCAAGTTTATCAAATTGAAGTAGCAGACATTAACATCTAGTCCCTGCTGGGTTTTCAGCACAAAGCTGTGGAGAAGGTGTTAGGTGGAACCGCAGTCACCTCAAGGCAGACAGGGGAGAGGAAGATGTACTTCGGGGATCAGTTGGCAACAGTAGCTGGCATGTTCTGGCAGGATGTTTGCCTAGAGACTTCTATTTTTTTTTTTTTGCTACATGGTTCTTTATGCTTAATAGCTTATGTGTGTGTGTGTGTGTGAGAGAGAGAGAGAGAGAGAGAGAGAGAGAGAGAGAGAGAGAGAG